ATCCAGAAAGTGTGCTAACCCTTAAATCTAACTCGGTTTGGTGACCATACTAAATATGTCTCATCGTTATCATCTCACTACTCCTACCAAGAGGGGAGCATGCCCAGGTCAGCAGTAGGCAGGTGGGTCCTCTCTGGCTATCATGCTTCATTCTTACTTGGGGTAGAGTCGCCCACCCACTTGGGCATCATGAGGTAAGCACCTGGTTTCTGTGGGCTCAGGACCAAGGAGTCTTGGAGAACTTAGAGCTTATTAGGGTTGTCTGTGGGCATAGGTAACCACCCTGCCTCTTCAAACACCAAATGGAGTTAAGGCAACTCAGGAGGTGGAGGCACCTTCTAGAAGCCACACCTCTTAGAGACTTCCTGGGCAACTCCCCATCCCCAAAGGTCATGACCTTGAGAATCAATGCCAGCTCCCATCACCACCCACTCTGGTTCCAAATCACCTCCCAAATCTCTGCCTGCCCAGTCACACTTTCATTTACCTCAGAGATCTCTAAACATCCCTTATCACACTCCCTTATCAGTGACAATTTTTTGAGAAAATATTCCCAACATATGTAGAAAATCTACTTGTGAACTACTGTCATTCTACATACTCAATATCAGTAAAGCTTAATTTGTTTTGCTTACTTCTGTTAAAAAAGTAGATATAAATAGAAATTCTAAATTTTTCTTCCTGCATCCCCAGTGTAATAGTGTCCACAACTCAAATCTGGAGAGCCCTGAAAAGGTCAGAGGCAGAAGCTTGCAGGCCTTTCCTGCGTCTGAGACTCACATCTCCTGGCTTCCTGCCTCCACCTTGCTCTCCAGGGACCCTGGGTCTGGGATGACACGGCTCAGGAAACGAGCTGCGGGGAGAGGGCCTGGTCTCCCTTCCCACCCTCACCCTCACCTCTGTGTCACTTCCCCTCTCAGAGGCAGGACGGGCCACCACAAACCAGGTGTGCCAACAGTCTGGCAGGGTAAGCTAAAAACCAGTGAAGATGATGCATCTTAAACCATGTAGGGCTCTAGCTCTAGGGTCTTTGTTTTTGTGTGAGGTTGGGCTTGGGGAGTCCTGGCGTGGAGGACAATGTCCCAGGGGCTGCAAGAAGCCCCCATGCCTTGGTTAACACTTAGACAAGGCAACAGACAGGCCCTTTGCTGGGCTCCTTCACCCACCAGGGGGTGCATACTGCAGGAATCTCCGAGAAGAGAAAGAATGGCCTTGAGATCAAGTAACCAGTCAGCGACTAAGGTGGAAATAGAATTGAGGTCTTCCAGTCCCTAGTCTGGGATCCTTTTCTTTCTCATTTCCATACCAGGTTAACCACTTCTTGACCCTTGCAGCTAGGGTGCTGGCATCTGACCTCCATTCCCCAATCTGAGGTGCTTCCACAAGCTTGGAGGGAAAACGAGGACATTTGAGGTGACCTCTGTGTGCGGGTAGGTTGGTAGTCTTGGTGAATGTGGAGTGGAAACCTCTGGCCCCCCTGCAGTGAAGTCTTGTGGCATGGGTGAGGGGTTTCGTTGTTAACCTTGATCTGGATGGCCATTCCATTGGCTTAGTTAAGCCACATGGATAGTCAGCAAGTAGCTTCAGCTTAGACAGGAGTCAGCAAACTTTTCCTATAAGGGGCCAGATAATAAATATTTTTGGCTTTGCAGGACATATGGTCTCTATAGTATATTTTTTGTTATTTGTTTTTTATAACTCTTTAAAAATGTAAATATCATTCTTAGCTCAAGGGCCAGAATATCCCACAGGCTACAGTTTGCCAACCCCTGATCTGGGACCGTGTCAGGCCAACAAGAGAATGCTGGTGGCTACAGCAGAATTTAGTTTGAACTCCCTAGTTGTCCCACTTTGGGCGAGGCTGCCAGCCAGGCAGTCGAGGGTGACCCAAGAATAGCCAGGAGCCAGATCCTTAATTTTCAAAATAAGTCTTTGTAATTCCCTCACCCCTTCAGCCTCAATCACTAACCAGGAGACAGCCTGGAAGCGCTGAAGCCTCTCTGGAAACACCCACATTCAATGACCAAACCGCCTGCCTAAGGTGTGTGGACCAGGACGTGAGAAAGGTAGAAATCTATTCTGGGTGGATTTTTGAGGAAACTGTTCCAACAATCAATAATACCAGATGCTGGTGGAGAGTAGGGAAAGTAGAAAGTCCCATCCGAAACCTTGACTATAAACTTCAGTCTGTCTTCCAGGGTTGGCTTTGGGGTAGTAGCCTTTAACTTTGCCCAACCAGCAATGAACCAGGCCCCGTTGTTCAGGGGAACCTTTGTACATTGAAGGCCCCATGGAGCCCGTGGTTTTGCTTTAGGCAGTGGAATGGGGGATAGTTCCTTGTGATTGCTTCCTGCCACTTGCCCATTCCAAAACAGATTAACACGAGGACCAGGGCGGCTGTGCTCTTGAATATACCATTTACATTTAACCATTTCAGACCTTACTGGTTGTCAAGTTCAAGTTGACTGACCCCAGAATGAAGATGTAAGGCCAGAGAGTCGGGAGGCCTCCATGGGTGGGGCCTCCTCTCTCAAGGAGAGCTGAATAGCAAATTAATAGCTGCCTTTTCATAAATGTGTGTTTATGGTGGTTGTGTCAGCAGGTGGCGCTGTTGTACTGGGAAAGGGCCTCCCTGGGTCCCGCAGCAGCCTTGAAGTCAGGAACACTGTGACTTCCCTCTCTCCTTTTGGGATTCTGTTGTTTCTGTACAGTATCCTGGAGAGGACTACACATGCTCCAGTCTCTGCATGGGAGAATCCCGACACTTAGAGGACATTCACGGTATGGACACACGACACATCAATTATACATTTAATAGAAGCCAAAATGGCACATTGAATTGACCCAAAGGCCCCTACCCAACAGGGTCACTTTGGCTTCCTTTCCCCCACTGTGTGCTTTATCAGTTGAAGTCAGGTCCATTTTCCTTCTTGGGGAACATGGACCAAGGAGTCTAACATGCTTAGGTCATGAAGCATCATCTTCAGCAAAATTTTCCACCTGTGAGACATACAAGAGCCATGAAGGCTGATCCTTGTTGACCTCCTTTATAGTTAGAGGCTTCAGGACCAACTCTGTGTCTTTCCTAAACTATGAAATGTCTATTTGAGCCCAGGTAGTCCTCAATTGATGACTTGGGTGGCAGGGCCTTCATTTTTGTCTTCATTCAAGCCCCACCCATCCCTCGCTAACTGTGATTGGGTGGAGGTCATTACTAACACATCATTCCTTCCAAAGATGTCCAAATGGCCGACAAGCACATGAAAAGAAGCTCAATGTCTTCAGTCATTAGGGAAATGTAAATCAAACCCACAATGACACACCACTTCACACCCACCAGGATATTGATAACCAAAGAGAACGAAAAGTAACAAGTGTTGGTGTGGATCTGAAGAAACCGGAAACTCCTGCATCACTGGTGGGAACAGGAAATGTTGCACCTACTGTGAAAATCAGCTTGGCAGTTCCTCAAAAAGTTAATCATAGAAATACCAAATTCCACTCTAGGTCTATACCCAAAATAACTGAAAACTGTTCAAGCAAAAACTTGTACTTGAATGTTCACAGCAGCATTATTTGCAATTGCCAGAAAATAGAAGCCACCCAAACGTCCATCAACAGATGAATGGATAAAATAAAAGTGATATATACATACTATGGATATTATTAACCGTAGGCAGGAATGAAGTTCTCATACAACATGGATAAACCTTGAAAACATTGTGCTAAGTGAAAGAAGTCAAACACAAGGGACCATATGTGTGATGATTAGATTTGTATGAAATATCCAGAACAGGCAAATCCAGAGAGCTAGAGAGCAGAATGGTGGTGGCCAGGGCTGGAGGGAGAGAAGAATGAGCAGTGAGTTCTTAGTGGGTACAAGGTTCCTGTTTGGAGTGATGAGCACTTCTGGAACGAGATAGATGGTAATCACTGAGCAACTTTGTGGAAGTACTAAATGCTACTGAGTTGCATGCTTCCAACAGATTAAAATGGTAAATTTTGTATTCTGTATATTTTACCATGATAAAAAAAAATACAAATTGGAACAATGAAATAAAATTGCCTCTACTTACAGACAGCATGACTGTATATAGAGAAAATCCCAAAGACTGCAAAAATTATACTAGAACTAATAAAGTGAGTTTAGCAAAATCTTAGAACATGTCAAGAAACAAAAGAAATCAGCAATATTTCTGTAAACTAGCAGTAAGCAATTAGAAATTTTTTAAATGTCTAACAGTATTGTTATTAATATTGCCACCATCGTCATTTACATTATTATTATGACTTGGGTTAGCGAGAATTACTTCAACATTTTCCAGAGAAATCTGGTTGCCACACAACACTTGGCAATATTTAAAGCTACTCTGTACCCAAAGTGGCAGATAGTTGGAATTCCTCCAATTTGGAGGAAGGATGTTTTGGTTGTGATTTGGGGATGTGATGGTTGTTGGTGGTTTCTTGCTATTTAACTAATAACTGCTGTCAGTTCAGTCTTGTCATTACCAGTTTACTTTGTTATGGGTTGTTTAGTTAAACTGCATGTATAATGATGCATATTTGCCTCAATTCCATGTGCGTGTGGCCTGCAATTTCCCACTAATTAGACTCTTTAAAGACATTTCTGCAGTTATCTACTCAAATTTGCATCATCTGTTCCCCTCTTGCCAAAGCAGATGTACATAGCTCCCACCCACCCCCACTCCAGGAAATAATTTGCTTATTATCACTGAGTTCTTTTTCCACTGGAAAGTAGAAACTACGCAGGTGCAGACGGTTGGGATTTCTGTCCCACTGAAGTGAGAACCATCAAAATAGTGCAGACAAAAGGTGCTGGGCCTCAGTCAGACAGGCAGAGTGGGCCTGGGAGTGGGGAACAGACCTGGAGATTATCTAAAATACGGCAACAGACTGACCAATGACCTCAAACCCAGCCCCAGCCCCCATCTCAAAAGGATCTAGATGCTCACCATTTCCCCAAGAATCAAGAATCGGACTCCACTCCTCTCAAATGGCTTTATTTCCCCAGTGTGGGGAGCTGCAAATGGGATCTGTGATCCCTGTATCCCAAAGACCCTGCAGCCCTCTCCCGCCCAGCAGGCTGTGGCAGGGCCTTCAGAAGAGCAATGCCTGGGCTCCAGAGGCTGATCTTCCCGGAGCGGGACTGGTTCTAGGAGGAGCTGGGCCTGCGGTGGTTCGCATGGATGACACTCCCTGAGGTGGTCCTGACAGCAGCCCAGGTGGTCCTCCATGAGCATGGGGCCCGCGTGGAAAACAAGGCCAGGAGGTGCAAGGGTCAAGGACCAGTAGGACTTTGGGAGCAAAAACTCCCTATGGGGGCTACTCCTTGAAGTCTGCCAGCAGGGCTCAGTCTGGGGTGAAGAGAGGAGAGAGAACACGTGGTGGGGATGGAGAGGAAGACAGAAAAAAATGGAAGACTGGCAAACATAAGGAGAAAGGACGAAAAGCCCAAAGGAGACGGAGAGTGTGCCCCAGGGACAATGGAAGGGCGGCGAACGGGAGAAAAACACTCAGAGATAGAGGAACAAAAGCCCCAGGACGTAGGGTGGTGATGACAGAGGCCAGGGATAGACACAGGTGGACCCCACAACACTGACCTTTAGGCCCAGACAGGGTTGGAGGCGGTGGCCCCCCTGGGGGCAGCAACGCAGAGCGGCTCAGGGAGTCGGCCACCCAGCCCAGGACACGGCTACAGTGCTGGACCTGGGGAGCAGGAGGGACAGAAGGGCAGGAGACCAGAACCTCACACCACCACCCCCGCCCCAGCCACACTCCCCCAGCCTGGTCCGGGAGTCCTCACTTCCTGCTCCAGCCCTTTCAGATGCTGCTCATACTCGCGGATCTGCCTCAACTGCTTCAACGCTGCGTCCACCCTGCAACCCACGGCAACGAGGACATCAGGCCCATTCCCCGCCCCCGGTAGCCCCGCCCACCTCAGAAGCCCCGCCCCCAGAGGCCCGCCTTCCTCCCCAACACTCCGGGGCGCCGCCCCACTCAGGCTCCACCTGGAGCCCCGCGCCTCCCTAGCCCCAGTCCGGGGCTCCTCTCACCCAAGTCCCGGGACCCGCCCCCGAGGCCGGAAGCCCCGCCCCCAGCCAGGACCCGCCCTCACTTTTGCGACATGCGCTTCAGACGCTCGGAGTCACTCTCCCGCTTGTCACGCGCGCGCGCCAGCAGGAAATTCTCCTTCTGCACCGACTCCCATGTCAGCAGCCTCCGCTCTGCTTCCTTCGAGAGGTAGACCCCTGGGGGGCGGTGTTAGGACGGAGTCAAAGGGCCTGCCCCCTCCAGACCCAGCCTCCCCACCCAAGGCCTCCAGCGCGAGCCCTCGCAGACCACGCCCCGTGCAGCTCTAGGCCTCGCCCTAATATTTCACACCGGCCCCCTGACCGCCTAATCCCTGCCCACTAGTGCTCCCGGACATCTTCCCCCAGCGTATCCGTGCTCTTCTTTCTCTCCAGGTCCTGACCCCGGTGCTTTTCCCTTTTGTATCAAACCCCGTTCTCACGAAAATGTTCGAAGACCGGGGAGGGCGGCAAGCGGAACCGGCGCCTCTGTAGTTGCCGGATGAGGAGGCGCACGTGTGAGATGATGATAAGGGGCGGAGCCAGCGCGGGCCGAGAGTGAAATTCCCGGATGAGGCAGTAGCGCTGAGCCTTCCAATAGAGGTCGCTGTTTCCCTGTACTTTGCTGAAGGTGTGGCTGTGGGGACGAGAGAGGTCAAGGGTCACCAGAGGTCAAAGAGGGCAGATCAAGGTTAGATATTAGACAATATATTTGAAGTCCAAGGCAGCAGGCAGATGTCAGAATCAATAAGGTCAGAGGTATTACAGGATGCACTTAGAAGCTGGGTTAGGAGGGCAAAGAGTCAGATGTCAGAGGTCAAGTTGGGGATGGTGTCAGGAATTAAGATAGAGGTTATAGACAGGTTCAAAAGTCAGCTGAACACAAATAGCTAAAATCAGAAATGAAAATGGAGACATTACTACCAACTTTACAGAAATAAAAAGGATTATAAGAGAACACTATCACAATTGTATGCCAACAAATTAGATAACTTAAATGAAATAAGTGGACAAATTCCTAGAAACGTAAAAATTACCTAACTGACTCAAGAAGAAAAAGAAAATCTCTCAAAGACCTATAACAAATAAAGAGATTAAATCACTCATAAAAATGTCCCAACAACAACAAAAATCCCAGGCCCAGATGTTTTTGCTGGTGAATTCTATGAAACATAAAAAAAAACAACAACAAAACCAATCCTTCTCAAATTCTCCAAAAAAATTGAAGAGAACAGTTCCTGACTCATTCTATGAGGCCAGCAGCATTACCAACCCAGATAAAGATATCACAAGGAGGGGCACCTGAGTGGCTCAGTCGTTAAGCGTCTGCCTTCAGCTCAGGTCATGATCCCAGGGTCCTGGGATCGAGCCCCGCATTGGGCTCCCTACCCAGCGGGAAGCCTGCTTCTCCTTCTCCCACTCCCCCTGCTTGTGTTCCCTCTCTCGCTGTGTCTCTCTGTCAAATAAATAAATAAAATCTTAAAAAAAAACAAAGATATCACAAGGAAACAAAATTACAGACCAATATTTTTTATGAATACACATGCAAATATCCTCAATAAAATACTAACAAACCTAATTCAGCTGCATATTAAAAGGATTATACACCATGACCAAGTGGGATTTATCCCAGTAATGCAAAGGTGATTCAACATGCAAAAGTCAATATAATACACCACATTAATAGAACAAAGAGAAAAAAACCACATGATCACCTCAAGTGACAGACACAGAAAAGGCATTTGACAAAGTCCAACACCCTTTCGTGGTAAAAAAAAATTTTTAACTCAGAAAAATAGTATTAAAAGGAACATTCCTCAACATGGATACAGGGTACTTATGAAAAACCTACGGCTAACATACTCAATGAAGAAAGACTGAAAGCTTTCCGCTAAAATAAGAAACAAGACAAGGATGCCCACTCTCACCACAGCTATTCATCATCATACTGAAAGTTATAGTCGGAGCAATTAAACAAGAACAAGAAATAAAAGGCATCCAAATTGGAAAGGAAGACAAACTATTTCTATTCACAAATGACATGATCCTATTTCAAAAATCTCAGAGAATCAAAAGAAACAATCCAAAAAGGAAATTAAGAAAGCAATTCCATTTACAATAGAATCTTAAAAAACAAAGCACCGAGGAATAAATTTAACCAAGATGAAAGACTTTTACACTAAAAATTACAAAACAATACTGAAAGAAATTTAAAAGAGCACCTAAATAAGTGGAAAGACAACCTGTGTTCATGAGTACAAAGATTTAATACTGTTAACATCAGAATACTACCCAAAGCAATCTACAGATTGAATGCAATTCTTATCAAAATTGTGACAGTCTTGGCACGCCTGGGTGGCTCAGTTGGTTAAGCGGCTGCCTACGGCTCAGGTCATGATCCTGGGGTCCTGGGATCGAGCCCCACGTCTGGCTCCCTGCTCAGTGGAGAGCCTGCTTCTCCCTCCCCCTCTGCCTGCCACTCTGCCTACTTGTGCTCTCTCTTTCTCTGTCAAATAAATAAAAGCTTTAAAAAAAACCAAAAAACAAAAAAACACCAAAATTGTGACAGCGTTTTTTGCAGAAAAATAAAAGCCAATCCTCAAATTTATATGGAATTGCAAGGGAGCCTGAATAGCTAAAGAAATCTTGAAAAAGAACAAAGTTGGAGGACTCAGACTTCCTAATTCGAAAATTTGCTCCAAAATCAAAATAGTGTGGTACTGGCCAACGACTGACATATCGACCAATGGAACAGAAATGAGAGTCCAGAAATAAACCCATACATCTATGAGTATTATGGGTTGAATTGTGTCCCCTTTCCACCAAACGAGATATGTTGAAATCCTAATCTCTAGTACCTCAGAATGTGACTTATTTGGAAGTAGGGTCTTTACAAAAGTAATCAAGTTAAAATGAAGTTGTTAGGGTTGGTCCCAAGTCTAACAAGGCTGGTGTCCTTATGAAAAGGGGAAATTTGGACACAGATATGCACACAGGGAGAATACCATATGAAGATGAAGGTAGAGGTTACAATGATCCATCTACAAGCCAAAGATTGCCAGCAATCCACCAGAAGGTAGGAGAGAGGCAGGGAACAGATTCTCCTTCACAGCCTTTAGAAGAACCAATCCTATCCATACTTTGATTTTGGACTTAGGGCATCCAGAACTGTGATGGAAAAGTTTGTTATTTAAAACCATCCACTTTTTGGTACTTTGTTAGGGAAGCCCCAGGAAACTAATACAATGGCCAAATGATTTTTAACAAGAGTGACAAGTCCATTCAATGTGGGAAAAAATAGTCTCTTAAACACAGAGACCTGGAACAACTGGATTTCTGCATGCAAGAAGAACAAAGTTGGACCCCTACCTCACACTATATACAAAAATTAAGTCAAAACAGACCAACAACCTGAATATAAGAGCTAAAACCATAAAACATAGGAATGAAACTTTATTAACTTAGACTTGGTGACTGGTCCTTAGATAGGACACCAGTGTACAAATAACAAAATTTTAAACTTTTGTGCATCAAAGGGGATTATCAAGAACAGGAAAAGGCAACCAGCAGAATGGGAGAAAATATTTGCAAATCATATACCTGATAGGAGTTTAACATGCAGAATATACAACGAACTGCTATAACTCAACAACAAAAAGACAAACCACCAAATTTAAAAACAGGCAAAAGACCTGAATAAACATTTTCCAAAGAAGATGTACAAATGGCCAATAAGCACATGGAAAGATGCTCAACGTCTTTAGTCATTAGGAAATGCAAATCAAAACCACAATCAAATACCAGTTCATACCCACTAACTAGGGTGGCTGTAATTTTTTGAAAAGGAACATAACAACTCTAGGCAAGGCTGTGGAGAAATCGGAACTCACATACATCGCTAATGAGAACAGAAGATGGTGCCACTCCTGCAGAAAACAGTTTCAAAAAGCTAAACAGAATTACCACAGCATACCCAGCATTCTATTTAGAAATATATCCAAAAGAAATAAAAGCAGAGACTCAAACAGGTACATGAACACTAATGTTCATTGCAGCATTATCCACAATAGCCAAGGGATGGAAACAACCAAGTTTCCATGAACAGATGAATGGATAACAAAATGTGATAGACTGATCAACGGAATATTATTCAGCCATAAAAAAAAGAGTACTGATCCGTGCTACAACATGGATAAACACTGAAAACATTATGCTAAGTGAAATAAGCCAGGCAGAAAATGATGAATATTGTATAAATCCACGTGTACGAAACCTCTAGAATAAGCAAATTCCTAAAGACAGAAAGCAGATTCCAGGTTACCAGGGGCTAGGGAGGTAGTGGGGAATGGGAAGTTATTGCTTGCTCAGTGGGTACACACTTTTTGTGTTTGGAGTGATAAAATTTTTTGGAAATAGTGGTAATGGTTGTAAAACATTATGAATTTAATTAATGCCATTGAATTTGTACACTTAAAATTGGCAAGTTATATGTATTTTGCCACAATAAATTTTTTTTTTTTTTTTTTTAATAGTCTGGGCCCAGGGAGAGGATCAGAGTCCAAAGTCCAGGTCAGGAGCAGAGTCTGAATTCTGGGACTAAAGAGAGAATTGATTTAGGCTGGTGTCAAGAATCATGCTGGGGTCAGGGTCAAGCTGGGTGAGGTCAGATCAGAGAGCAGTCAGGCCTCACCTGAACATGGCGATGAGCAAATTGAGCAGCAGGATGTTGGCCACGAGCAGGAAAATGATGAGAAGGAGAACCACCAGCCAGTTGGCATAAAGCGAGACACAGGAGCCTGCCTGCGCCCCCGGCGGGCGAGCCCAGAAGCCCTGCTCTAACGAGCAGTTGACTTGCTCCATGAGGGCCACTGTAAAGGGAGACACTCAGAGATGGGGCCAGGGAGACAGAGACCAGAGAAAAACAGAAATTCGGAGGGGCGTGGGGGAGAGAGACCCAGAGAGACGGAGACAGAATCCCAGAGAGAGAAAGAGGAGGGGGCAGAGACCCAGAGGCAGGGAACAGAAATACGGAGAGAGAGGCGGGCAGAGTCCCATAGGGATGAAGGAGGGTAGGGGCTACTCAGAGACCTGGAGAGAGAGAGACGCAGAGACTTAAGGAGAGGGGTATAGAGACCCAGGGACGGGGAGCACTGGGAGGGGGGACTCGGAGGGAGGGCGTCAGGCCCTCTCATTCCTCCATACCGTCCATGTCCTCCTGGGGGATCTGCCCAAAGATCTGCAGGTAGGGCCGGTAGAAGACACGGCGCAGGATACTCGGGAGGTCACGATCCCGGGGCCTAAGGAGCCCCTCCGTGGCCACCCCGTAGGCAACCAGCCACACACCAAGGAAGAAGAGGAAGAAGAACACGTCCTTCATCTGCGAGGTAGGAAGAGAAGACCAAGTCTGGCCCCGCCCCGACCCCGCCCACCGAAGGGGCCCCTGTATTTTCAGATTTTAATGTTTGGCCCCGCCCAGACCCCGCCCCCGCCCTGCTCTGCGCACGCGTGCCCACACCGCCCCGCCCCTTCCTCTGGACCCGCCCATCCGGCCCCGCCTCCCTCACCATCTTGTTCACGATGACGATTTTGGGTCCCAGCTCTTTGTTGACCGTGAAGATGTGCAGCAATCGTAGCGTGAAGACCATGAAGTCGAGGCAGAGGAGAGTGCGGCCCAGGTCATACAGTCCGGGGAGCAATCTGGGATGCGGGGAGACGCGGCGGGGGTCACTCGGGTCACGGGGTGCAAAGGAAAACCCGGGTCTTCCCAACACCAGGCTTCGGGGTGACCCTGGAGGGGCCGCAGCCGGGACCCTCCGATTCACCCGGGTTTACCCAGATTTCACAGCGCCAAGATGAGCCGCGCAGGGCGCTGGCACCCGCTTAAAAATGGCTGCATAAATCAGAGCCCTGGCTAAAATTCGGGAGGCCCCTGTAACAAGTTGGAAAAACTGCCAGAATATTTGTCCAACCTATAAAAGGCAAAATATAGAGAGTTCCAGCAAACGAGTAAGCAGAAGACAAACGACCTAAAGGAGAGTGGATAAAGAGAACACACAATTCACAGAGGAAGGTCAAATGGCCAGTAACATGGGCAATCCCTATGGGGAAAATTTAAAAATTATATCCCTATTTGCATCATCATGTACTTGAACTCTGAATGGATTAAAAACCTAGAGTAGAAGGCAAGGGGCGCCTGCATGGCTCAGTAGGTTAAGCCATGATCTCAGGGTCCTGAGGTAAACCCCGCCTCCGCCTCCGCTGAGTGTGGCACCTGCTTAAGCTTCTCTTTCTCCCTCTCCCTCGGCCCCCCCAACTCTCTCAAAAATAAAATAAAAAAGTACTTTTTAAAAAAAAACCTAGAGTAAAAGGCAAAACATTAAAATCTGAAAATACAGAAGAATTTCATGAGCTTGATAGGATGAGATGTCACAAAACAAAACAAAAAAAGCCTTCTACACAAGTAATATATATATAAAATCACAATACAGGAAAAGACTGATGAATTTGACTACTCTGAAATATAAAACTTCCATGCATCAAAAGATAACATAAATATGATCAACAGAGAAAGGCAAAACTATCTGCCAAAAATGCATGACCTAAATTTGATCACGAGAGAACTGAGACAAACTCAAATGGAGGCAGATCCTACAAAATAACTGGACTGGACTGTTCAAAAGTGTTAAGATCATAAAAGCCAAAGAAGGACTGAAGAACTGGATTGGCTCCCGGGACAGAAAAAGGACATCCATGGGACAGTTGGTAAAATGTAAGATCTCCTGGTTTTGATAATGGAAGATGTTGACATCTGGGGATCTGGGTGAAAGATGTAGAGGAATTCTTTGTACTGTTTTTGCCATACTTTTTTATAAGTCTCGGGTTGTTTCAGATACAAACTTAAAGAATAAAAGAATGTTTAAGATAATATACAAACGTGAAAAGAAGCTGCAGACAGAAGGTATTTAGAACAAAACCACCAAGATTTAGGGCACCTGGGCTGGCACAGGCAGTGTTCCACTTTTGATCTCAGGGTTGTGAGTTCAAGTATTCACCCATGTTGGGTGTAGACATTACTTAAAAATAAAATCTTACAAAAACAAAAAACACCAAGGGTTAGGAGAGCACCTACCCGTACGCATATACAAGAGATCAACAAACATAAATGAATATGTATTTTCTAAAACGGCGGCGGCAAGGCTATGAAAAGACATTGACAGAAGGACAAGTGGCCATTTGCTATGAACAGATGCCCAAGCTAACTAGTAGTCAGGGATGCATAAATTTTAAGACAAGAAGTCATTTTTACCCATCAGAATGGAAAAAAGAAAAAAAAATCTAAAGGTTAAATTGAGAGCTACAAAATTTTAAAGACATGACATGCCAAGACCCAAAACATCCATGTTTCCAAGGATGTTTTGACGTGCCCTTTGCGCTCTCTCTCTCGGCACCACAAAGTATGATCTGGAAGCTACAGAAGAAATGAACTAACATGACACAGCCCAGTCTTGGCAACAGAAAATATTTGAGGTGAATTCCTGATGATCTGGTTTTGTTTATGCTAAAAACTAAGCAGAAACAGTTAGGTTTTTATGGACTAAAAAAGTGACAGGACATTCAAGCTTCCCTGGTAAAATGTGAATCTGTAGGGGCCGCCGGCTCTTGGGCAGGGCATGGGATTCTTGATCTCAGAGTTGTGAGTTCGAGCCCCACATTGGGAGTAGAGATGACTTAAATTTTTTTAGGGGCACCTGGGTGGCTCAGTCATTAAGCGTCTGACTTCGGCTCAGGTCATGATCTCAGGGTCCTGGGATCGAGCCCCACATCAGGCTCCCTGCTCTGCAGAAAGCCTGCTTCTCCCTCTCCCACTCCCCCTGCTTGTGTTCCCTCTCTCGCTGTGTCTCTCTCTGTCAAGTAAATAAATAAAATCTTTAAAAAAAATTTTTTTTAATCTTAAAAAAAAATGTGAATCTATAAAATTTGACCCAGGAAAACTGGACCCGAATGACATAAAAGCCCCAACATAAAATTCACAAACACAGAACCTAGATTTTGGCAAAATTCAGGTCCATTCAATACAACACCAATGATGAGCCAAATATTTGTTGTACGACTTACCCCAAATAATAATTAACGAAGTTGAAATAATTTCAGAAACTAAAACTGAAATGTGTTTAACTGCCCTGCAGATAAAACTGATTGAGGAAATTTGCAGAAATGAAAACCATTCCTTGATAAGAGCTTATCTGTACTGGTAAAAATTCTGGTAAAAAAAAAATTACACGGATCATTATAATTACGCGCTGTGAGGAAGGAACTGCAAGCTGCCCGGAGGGGCTGGAGCCTGGATGAAGAAAAGGGAAAGGAATGGGGATGCAGGCCTGCAGAGCTGGACGGGTCTCCACCAGGCAGCGCCCCCAGGACCGGGTCCAGGGGCGCTGGGCAGCCCGGGGAAGCAGGCAGGGGCAGGACAGCTCTGAGAGTAAAAAGAGTCTTGTGGGGATGGACTGGAGGGAAGAGGGGAGTCCTGGAGGCTGGGGCGAGGGGGCGGCAGAGCGGGGAAGGTGAGCGTGCCCCCCACCCCCCCACCTCCGGGCCTGGCCCCTGTCTGGGGGAAGACTGAGTTCAGCGGGGCTTCCCGTGCAGCCGCAGGGCCAGGTCTGGGGGAGCAGAGAAAAGCCCGCCCGACCTGCAGATCTAGAAAAACAGTGAGGCCCTTGCCCTAGTCCGGCCGTCCCTAAAGCCAGATACCCAGGTGTGAGCGAACTGCCTGGGGGCCATCTGGATGCGGTGCTTTCGATCAAGAAGGGGCTTTCGTGCGTGTTTCCGGGAAAAGCGGGGTTGGCTCCAGCCCAGCAGAGAGGCGCGGAGTGGCAAGCAGCAGGGACACTCACCGGCAGCCGACGCCCAGGAGGAAGCAGGTGAGGGCCACCAGGTCGCACTGGTTCCAGGTGTCAGCGAGGTAGAGGCTCAGCCGGTGGCGCAGCGGGGCCCGCTGGGGGCCGGGCCCGGGGCCCCGGGTGGTCAGGCTGCTCCAGCCGCCGCCCAGGCCCTGCCGGAGCTCCTCGCAGAGCAGGGTGAAGACCCAGAAGTAGAGCAGCAGCTCCAGGGCACCGGGCGCCTCGGGCTGGAAGTCGAGGAGCAGCACCCGGGCGAACACCAGCAGGAAGAGGAGGTAGCTGACCACGTTGCCCATGAAGGCGGTCACCGGCGCCCCCCAGAACTGGGGCCAGCGGCGCAGGCGTGGGGGGCACCCGCCGCAGCAGCCCCTGCGTGGGCCCCAGCGCCGCACGGCCGTCTTCTCGGGGGTCTCTGCCAGCCTGGGGGGGGGGAAGGGGGGAAGGGAGGAGGGCTCAGCCTGACCTCTGAGCCCCTCTTCACCGTCATCAAGACCTCTCACCATTCACATCTGACCTCTAACCCTGCTTGACCTGAAACCAAGTCCCCTGTCTACCATCCCCTTGACTTTTGACCCCTGTATCTAACCTCTGACCTCTGAGATCTACCCTCAAGACTGCTGACCTTCCGCCTCTGACCTTCTCCACCCTCTGACCCTGGTCTGACTTCTAACTTCAGGTCCCTCTTCTTTCACCTTCACAACCCCTGACTCTGTCTGACCTTGGACCATCTACCTGACCTCTGACCCCCTCACTTTCATGACCTCAGCTCCCCAGGTTTGACAGCCCGGTGCCTGAATATTAACTTCTGACCCAGAAAGTCTGATGTCAGATTGTCCAGCCCAGTGTGCCTCATATCTGACCTCAGAGCAAACAGCCGTATTTGGCTTCTGAATTCTGACCTTGGTCCACTCCTACCTCTGACCCTTCTTGTCCAAGTTCTGACCCTCTGTCCCAATTTCATCCTGACTCTTCATTCTGACCTCAAACCAGAAATGCCAAAATGAATAATACAAATAAACTCAACAAGCTAACAGGAAAAATAAACTGGCTTGGAGAGGCATCTTCTTTTTATAAACCAAGCAGAAAGAAAATAACCCCAAAGTGGAAACAACCCAAATGTGCATCAACTGATCCATGGATAAATCAAATGTCGTCCATCCATACAACAGAATATTATTTAGCACTAAAAAGGAATGGAGCACTGATGCGAGCTACCACTTGGAGAAACCTTGAAAACAAGACGCTAAGTTAATGAGACCAATCATAGAAGGCCACAAAGCATATGACTCCATTCATACAAAACGTCAGGAATAGGGAAATTCTTTGAGACGGAAAGCCAATTATTGGCCGCCGAGGGCTGGGGGAAGGGAGGAATACAGAGTGACCATTAAGGGGTACAGAGTTTCTTGTTGTGGTGACAAAAATGTTTTAAGATTGATTGTGGTGACAATTGCACAATTCTGTGAATGTACCAAAAACCACTGAATTGTAACACCTTAAATGGGTGAACTGAATGATATGTGGATTTTATCTCAGTAAAGCTGTTCTCAAGAAAACAAGAGGAAAGAATTATAAAAGCTAAAGAAAGTGCAATGCAGAGAGGACAGGAAGTTCCCTAATGTCGAGGGAAAACAGACTTGGTATTTTGCATCTCACCCTCTGTGGGGCCCTGGGAACAAAAATGTGTGGTCACAATGCTCCCCACCATCCGCCATCTTGAATCAGGCACAACCAGGCCGCACAGATTCCTGGGCCCGTCCTGAGCCTCCCTGGGGGAGAATCCAGGAATCTGTCCTTTTACAAAGCTCACCATGGAGGTGGCTCTCCACAGCTTCGGGAACAAGAAGATCTGGGTTCAAATCCCACCTCTACCACCTACAAATCACATGAGCTGAGGCAAGTGACTTAGTGCCTCGGTGATTGCAACTGTGAAATGGGGATGATAATAGACCCTACTGCATTGGGTTGTTGAGAAAATAAACTGATTTTCTAAAGGATTCAGCGCACTGGCTACCCTCTGTAAGTGTTCTGTGGCATCAGCTAATGTCACTGTCACTGATCGTCATGGTGCAAAAGTTGGGAACTCCCTGGGCAAGGACATCGTTCCTGATCCTGACACTGGGGACTTCCAGCCAACCGTTTTCAGTGGTCCCAATTTTTTTTCTTAGTTTTCTCTTCTATCTTGACAAATACATTGTATTCATTGTGCATTGTCTCAGAAAAATATGTATGCATATATATATATTTCAATTCGACTGCTCCTTGAGGTATGTAGTGGGTCTTACAGACTTCTGGCTTCTGATCATGTTTCTTTTTTTTTTTAAAGATTTTATTTATTTATTTGAGACAGAGAGAATGAGAGACAGAGAGCATGAGAGGGAAGAGGGCAGAGGGAGAAGCAGACTCCCTGCCGAGCAGGGAGCCCGATGCGGGACTCGATCCCGGGACTCCAGGATCATG